GGGTTGGAGCGTGGAGGGGGCGGGTCCGTCGGCGTGCGCCCGAGACGTCGGGCGGCGAGGCGGCTCGGGACCGTGTGCAGGAGCGTGTTGTGCGGGAGGTGCTCAGGGGTCAAGGGGGGCCCCTGCACGGTCGGTGTGGCCCCCGCGGGTGCATGGCTGTCGAAGGCGGGGTGGGGCAAAGGAGGGGTCAGCGGCGCCCACCATAGTAGCAGACGGCGCAGGACGACAGCAGGACGTTCCCCAGCGGCGGCAGCAGCCCGCGGGCAATGCGGCTGGTGAGGATGCCTGTGCGGCCGGGGGCGTGAAGAGAGGGGGGTCACGGGGCTGGCGTGCAGGGAAGGGGAAGGGGTGCACCGGCACCGCCCGCGTTGCGCGCCGAACCCAACGCTCATATCCTGACGATCGTGGCGACATCGGGGGCCACTTCCTAGGCCTGATACAGCTGCTCGCACCGGTCATGTGGCGGCGGTACCGCGTTATGCTGCGGTGTTTCCGCCAGTTGGGCTCAAAGAACACCTGCGTGCAGGTATGGTCGCATCTGGTTGACCGAATCTGGTCCCAGAGGATTGTGTGAGCTTGTGCATGCATGAGGCACGCCGGCAGGTGCGACCCACCGTCCTGCGGTATGCGCGGCCCTCCTCTCTGTCCTCGTCGCTGCGCTGCGTGAAGCCATCAACAGCTGAGTGCACCGGCGTGCAGAGGCGTGGGCGGCGCTCCCGCAGTGCGAGCGGCACGCGAAGCGCGGGGTTCGGCGGCGCAGCGCCGCCAGCTGCACGATGCCTGCCAGGTTGAAAGCACTTTGAAAGCATTGCAGGACTCTTTCACGGGCAATGGCTGTCCTAAGCTCCCAACCCGGGACTATGATTCGGAGTGACGCTAAGCTAACACCCTCGTTGATCCGTCATAACAATCACGAGCGTACTAAACATCGTAGTTCCGTGTAACGACGTACACTGCTCAACGATCTTGACCTGCGCACTTGGCGCACAAGAGGCAAAATGATGTTGCACACTACACTGCAGCATCAATGCATATCCAGAAGCGCCCGTGTCAGCCGCAGCAAGAATGGGGCTGGCACCCCAGCGGCGCAGCAGTGGCGAGGGCGACTACGCTCGTGCCGCAGCGTCTGCATCCAGGCGTCGGCCTCCCCTGTCAGGGGCGTCATTTTCGACGTGAGGGGAGAAATGGACTGTTGTCGCCGCCTTGCCTTCAGCTGCACGGCACCAATGCACCGTTCATACATGGCCGCAGGTGGATGGTGTCCTCTGCAGCAGCGAGCACCTGTCACGCCAGTGAGTTCGAGGGGGCCAACAAATGACAGAACCCCAGCAAATATCGCGCCCGTGACAGAGCACACATTCAGACACGCACATGAGCACGCCCTCGCCCGCCGCACAGAAACGAGCCGCCCGCCCGGCCCCGTTTTCGCGCCCGCAGGGCTGCCGCTGCTGTGCTGGAGCGGCTTTATGGCGTGCGCGCAGAGCCTGACAAGTTTATCCCCTACGGCGGCATGGGGGAGGCGCGCTTCCTCGGCGGCGTCGCCGAGAAGTACGGCGTCCAAGCTTTCGACGTGTCCGAGGCGAAGCGGCTGTTCCTTGAGATCTACGTGGAGACGTACTGCCAGGGGCCAAACGCCGGGGACATCGCCTTCCAGGGCGCGGTGGCGCTCGTGCGCGCGCTGAGGGCGGCGGGGCTGGCGACGGCCGTGGCGAGCAGCGCGGCGCGCGTGAAGGTGAAGAGCGGGGCGCAGGGCTTGAAGCGGGCGGGAGAGGGGTGATGCAATGGCTCGCTCGGTGTAAGTGTGATGTCAAGCACCAGCTTTCGGTGATCTAATACTGATATGCCAGAGGCTGCCTCTGTCCAACGCTGCCACCAGAAGCGCGTGGCTGCGTTGCGCGCCGAGAAGCGCCGGTGGTCGCAGCTCTCACATCAATAAGGGGCAGCCCGCCCAGCCTCACGCCGTGCCGCCCGTCGTCGCCAAACCGGCCCGGCCTCCTGCCAAGCCGCCGCACGCACCGCCTGCCTCGGACTGACGCCAGATCGACGCAAACCTCGGGGCGGCGGGCTTCACCCCGGAAGACTTTGGCTGCGTTGTATCCGGCACAGAGTTTGAGCGCAACAAGCCGTTCCCGGACGTCTTCCTGGCCGCCGCGCGCGGCCTGGGGCTGGCGCCCGCCGAGTGCGTCGTGCTGGAGGACGCGCCGGCGGGCGTCAGGGCGGCGCGCGCGGCGGGCATGCGGGTGATCGGCGTCACTACGACGCTGTCGCGGGCCGAGATGGACGCCGAGGCGCCTGACGCGGTTTTTGAGGAGGTGGGGCGGATCTCGGTCGCCGACATCACAGGTTTGGTGGAGCGCGGGGCGCAGCCTGTTACAGCGCAGCAGCTAGGGGTGCCGGGCGCGTGAGTCATCGTCGGCGTGCGCACGTTTTTGGTGATACTGTAGTCAAGACGCATCCACCAACTGTAAAAGGACGTTCTGCTGTGTGCTGGTTGCTGACAGAGGTGACTGCGCGTCTGTTGTCAACTCAAGTGGCAGCGTCCAGGCGGTGTCAGATCTGAGGGCCGTGCCATTGCTACCACAGTGATGCACACACAGCATGCCACACGTCACACGAATACAACGTACAAGGGCACCACACACACACGCACGCACACATCCACACACAGACCGCCAATGGGCCCAAGCCAACACATGCCAAGTTTTGTTGAGGGTGAGGGGAGACACCTTTTGACCTAGCTAAGCTTGATCTGCCCCCTCTCATGTGGATGCCTTCTATCCTTCATAAGGGAAGCCACACAGACACAGAACCGCCAACACATGCACATGTGCACAGCTGCAAGCGATGCATCGCGGGCAGTTTGACGGGCAGTCAACCCGTGTACTTGGTGAGAAAGCAAAGCTGTGTTGCAGATTGAGCAAACAACTTAGCCTCCCTGAAAGACAGCGCGTGGCAAATGTATGCTGCTACGCCTTTGTCTTGGGAAGTGCGGTGCACTCAAAGCTATGGCTTGATAGCAACAGGCCAATGACGGAGGTGGTCAGAATGGTCACCTTATTGTTTGGACTTGCGCACGTGTCATGCCTGCGATATCATATGATATCCACACGGCGTTCGTTCTCCTCACTCGTCAATCGAGCATGGTACTCGCTGACGGTAGCGCGTAGCATAGCATAGCATAGCAAAGCATAGCTCGAGATCAGTCGATCTGGTGGCAGAACGCTGCTCAAGCGTTTAAAAGTCGAGGATACAAGCAGGTGAGATGAAGGTGTCATTAATTGCTAACGCAACGCTAGCTGTGGGTCCACGCCATCACAGGCGTTTGAAAGGGGGGCGCACGGCGCGGTGTTGCTGTTGCGCTCCACTCGCGTTGCGCCTGATGCAGCAGGAGGACAATGTCTGCACAGCGAAACGCCACTGCTGAAGCAGTACTGCAGGGATTCAGAGTCCAGGGCACCTTCAAATTGCTTGGCTCACAACACTACCTGCCTCAGTTCCACACTGTGCTTCAATTCTCCCACAGCTGGGGCGGCCCCCAGGCAGGCGTGCAGCGCGGCCCCAAGCCATGGCAGACCTGCACACAGCGGCGCGCAACGGCGACGCGGCGCGCATCCTGCAGCTCGTCGCGATTGGGGCCGACCTGAACGCGCGGGACAAGCTCTCGCGCACCCCGCTGCACCTGGCAGCATGGGCGGGCCAGACGGTGAGGAGGCGAGCAGTGGGGGGCCTCGCACCCTCTTCGCCGCAGTGCTCACGGCTCACCCATAATGCAAGAATTAGTTTCTCCTAGCCGAACCTGGGCGGATTCAGCAATGCCGATGAGGCATCACACTGCTCGGCTCCCAACACAGCCCCTTGCCCGTCTGCAGCCCCCCTCGGGGCCGCCCCGCGGCGGCGACCAAGAAGCTGCTGCTCTCGTCAACATCCATGCCGCGCCGCGCCGCCCAACAGGAGGCCCTCAAGCTTCTGCTGGCGCACGGCGCGCTGGTGGCGGCCGCGGCGATGGACGACATGAACGCACTCCACTTTGCGGCCCAGAAGGGCAATGTCGAGGCCCTCCGGGCCGTCATCACCGCCGGCGCCTCCGTCAACAGCAAGACGCGAAAAGGTGCGGCAGGGAACACTGTGGTGCTGCTGAACGGTTGCATGGCAGATGGGCCTCTGTTTGCAACCAAGGTCCCATATCTGGGGGCTGCGGCCTCGTCCATCCGCCCCGCTGGCAGGCGCCGATTGGTAAAGCGCGCGCACAACCTGCCCCTGACTGCCCCGCTTCCGCTCCAGCGTCCCGACGTCTTCCATGCATGCATGAACCTTGCCCCATCTGGCCGTCCCCCAGGTGACAGTGCCCTGATGATCGCGGCCAAGGGGGGCCACGGCCCCGCGGTGGAGCTGCTGCTCAAGCGCGGCGCCAACCCGCGCGCCGCCAACCACAAGGGCCAAACTGCCGCTGACCTGGCGAAGGACGAGGGGGTCAAGGCGGCGCTGCAGGCGGCGGCGGCGGCAGCGGCAGCAGCGGCAGCGGCAGGGCCGGCGACGGCGCCGGCGGCACCCAAGGCGGCTACGAAAGCGGGCGGCGGCGTCGATGGCGGGGGCAGCGGGGCCAAGCGGGAGCGCGAGACGGCGGCGGTTGCGGCTGCGGCAGACGGTGGAGGCAGCGGCGAGGCTTCCGGGCCTGTGGTCGGGCCGGCCGTGGGGCCGCTGCCCGAGGGGGCAGAGCAGCAGCAGCACACGGAGGAGCACCGGCTCGAGGGCGGTGGACGCGATGAGGGGGCGCCTGCCATCGGGCCGGCCTTGCCACCAGGCCAGCCGCTGCTTGCGGCAGCGAGAGAGCCGGCAGCGGCAGGCGCAGAGCCAGCGGCTGAAGCGACGGAGGCAGCAGCGGGGGCCGGCGCCGCCGGGGAGCCGCAGCAGCCGCAGCCGAGGAAAAAGAAGCAGAAGGTTGCAGGGGGCCCAATCGTGTCCTTTGGAGACGATGACTAGCCGTGTGACATGCAGTAACAAAATGTTCTTTCATCCTGAGAGCTGTGTGACCCGGCGTGCAGACGGGTGAGGCCCCCGGGAGATTCGAGTGCCCAGGCGCTCGCCATGTCACACCGTGGCTTGTCCCTGCACCACTCCACCACATCGTCGGCGACACTAGCCCACCACATGTGCTCTCCATTGGCCAGACAATCAGTTATCGAAGCCCTTGTGATGGCAGGCAAGGCTTCCGAAAAATTTCCATGCAGCCCAATGCCACATCACCCATGTGGCAGAGGCCGGCGGTTCCCTGATGCCCATCTCATCTGCAGGCGCACGAGCGGGCAAAGCACGGCGCAGCGCAGTCTTGCCACCTCAGCATGCCATGTATGTTGCGGTTGGATCACTCCGTCACTTAAATCCGTGCCTGCACACATATTTCGGGGGCAACTGCCTCGCCAGCCCCGGTACGGATAGCACGCACCACATCTGTCCCTGTCCGGCCGCGGCCGTGATAGAGCGTCTTGACGTGGCCGCAAGATGCTGGCAAACAGCCTTACATCCCGGCAGGCCAAAGGCCTGCCAACGCAGCACCGGAGATCGACGATTTGCGTGCTGGGCCGGCGCGTCGGCAGGCCTGCGTGCAATGTGCTCACGCGGACCCAGGCAAGGTCATAAGCTCCATATGCGCCCTGCACGCTCGCGCGCTCGCTTGCCGCTGCACCGCCGCGCCGCCTCGCCACGCGGGACGGCAGCTGCCGTAGCGGCCGGTCAAGCCCAGCACGCCCGCCGGCCGCGGCCCGCAGGATGCCCTGGTGCTCACGGGCGACCAGCTGCAGCGCGAGGCGGCGGAGAGCGTTGGCGCGCAGGCGGGGAGCAAGCAGTGGGAGCCGCTGACCTCGATGTGAGGCGACCGGGGGCGGGAGCCGCCCCCTGCATCCCTGTGCGGCGGCCACCGCTCGGCTGCGTACGTGCGGGCGGGGCCGGGACGGCGCCCACCCCTCTCATCCTTACACGGTCCGCCGGAAGAGTATCGCAGTGGCTTTTGAGGATGCAGCTCGCGGCATCTGACAGCGCCACCAGCATCTGGCCCGCAGCCGCCACGCCTGCTGCCTCGGTGCCACGCAGCCACACGCCGCCACCCTCTCCCCCCCCCTGCCGGCGCCCGTCTGTCCCCGTGTCCGGCCAGGTGGGCGCGCAACGCGCGCCAGCATGGCTCCCTGGTGGCTGTGGCCGACCCCCACCAGCCGGGTGCCCCTAGCCTGACCTATGCCGAGCTGCACCAGCTAATCCTGGACTTTGGGGCCGGCCTCAGGAGCCTGGGGCTGGAGCCGGAGGACAGGGTGAGACGGGCGCCAGCTGGCGCGCGCGCACACGCCCAACGCGCCGCGGCCGCGGTTGGTGCAGCCTTCGAGCGTCCGGCATCCATGGTCAATGCCATCCGCGTGGAGTGTTTGCGGGCGGCGGGCGCGGGCCCCGGCTGCGAACCAACCTTGGCGCAGGCGCTTGAAATGCGTCTCGGGCCGACGCCGCCGCGCCGCCGCGCCGTCCGCGGTGTCGTATGTCATGATCTGCAGGTGTGCCTGTTTTCTGAGGACTCGTCGCGCTGGCTCATAGCGGACCAAGGCATCATGGCGGCCGGCGCAGCTGACGCGGTGCGCCACGGCGCGCGCGGGCGCGCGCGCGCAGGCAGTGGTGCTGGGCCGCGGGCCCGCCAGCCGCGAGGGTCCAGGGGCAGGGACTCCTATCGTCGGCGGGAGCGGGGGCGCGCGGCTTGGGACGAGGGCGCCCGCCCGCCGGCTGCTGATTGGTCGCTGTGGCGCCGAGGCCACAGCCTTGCTCTTGTATTGAGGGCCAGGGGCGGCACTTGCGAGCCCGCCAGGCCCGCTGGGTCGCCGCCCCGCTCGCCATGTGGCACTCGTGAAGTCCGCGGCAGGCTGGTCCTTGTCCCCGCAGCGTCCAACCGCCTCGTCGGCACCACCCCTTCACCCATGCGCCCCTCCACCACCTTCCCCTCCCTTCCCACAAACGTTCTCGGAAACCTCAAACAGGTCCGCGGCTCCAGCGCCCCGGACGCCGAGCTCCACTTCATCCTGCGCCACGCGCGCCCCCGCGGCCTGGTGGTGCAGGACGCCGCCACGCTGGGCCGCATGCTGCCGGCGCTCGCGCAGGTGCGCATATTGTTCGGGCACGAGGACGGGCCTGGAAGGACACGCATGACCGGCGCCCCTTGGGCGGTTTCCCATCCCTTGGGCGCGCGGGTTGTCAAGCGGAGCCCTGGGTAAAGATTTGGCGTCACCTGTGACCCCGCATCGCCGTCAGGTGTCGCCCAGCAACCGCTAATGAGCGGTGGAGCGGGGCGACGTGATTGCGGCCGCCGCCCGCGCTCGACCCGCAGCCGCCCGCGCGCAACGCGCCCGCGCAGGAGGGCGCCCCGCGCCTCAAGTTCATCGCGGTGCTGTGGCCCAAGGACGGCGACGGCCTCGACGCCGCGGCCGCCGCCGCGCCCTGCCCCGTGCTGCGGTTCGACGGCGTGCTGGCCGCGGGGCGGGAGGCGCGTGGCGATGGCGGCGCGGGGTTCCAGCCGCACGCGCCCGGGCCCCAGGAGCTGGCTACGCTCGTCTACACCAGCGGCACCACAGGTGCGCATGCGCGCGCTCGTGTGTGTGTGTGTGCGTGCGTACGTGCGTGCGCGCGCTCGTGTGTGTGTGTGTATGTGTGTGTGTGGATGCGATCAAGCTGGGGTAATGAGGATGGGTTGGGCTGGCAGCGGCGCCGCTCGCGCCCCCGCCGGTGCCCCAGGGCTCCTCAGGCTCAGCCAAACACAGTGCCGCCCCCTGCGGCCGCGCGGCCCTCCACCTGTGTCTGCCGGCCCCCCTGGGAACCACGGTTCAGGCAGGCTCCCCTCTCCTCACCCCCCTTCCCCTCGGGTCCCCCCAGGCCACCCCAAGGGCGTGATGCTGACTCACGGCAACCTGGCCAGCCAGGTGGACAACTTCCCCTTCTTCCTGGAGGTCACCCCCGGCGACACGGCTCTCAGCCTGCTGCCGCCCTGGCACATCTACCAGCGCACCACCGCGCTGTACCTGGCGTCGCGCGCGGCAAAGGAGGTGCGGCGCCGGCGCCCGGGCCGGGCGCCGTCGAGCAGGGCGCGGCCGCGGTCGAGGGGCGTGCGGGCGGGGTAGGGCGCGCCCGCGCGGTCTCCCGGCGGGATTGTGGGCCTGACCATTGGTCTTGGCGCCAGCATCCGCCGGCGGCGGGGTCTGCTGGACTAGGGGGCCCCACGGCTCACGGGGGTGATGGCGTGGAGGTGTTGCATCCGCAGCGCACGCACTCGCATGCGCACCCATCAACACCGCTCACTGCTGACATCTCCTGATCCCACAACACACAACACAACACCACATACACACACACACAACACACACTCTCACAATACACACACACACACAACATACATACGCAACACACTCACAACACACACACACACACACACACACACACAACAACACAATGTGCACACCCCCAGGTCTACACCACCAAGTTCAAGTTCAGGGACGACCTCACCGCCCACCCCCCGGACCACTTTGTCTGCGTCCCCCTCGTGCTGGAGACCCTGCACAGCCGCGTCATGGCCAAGCTCAGGGCCGAGACCGGGGTCAAGGGCGCCGTGGTGGCGGCGCTCCTCTCCGCGAGCCTGGCGTATGGTGCGCGGGCCGGGCGCGGGCGGTCGCTTGTGCACAAAAGCTCCCGTGTCCCTCGCAGCCGCGCGGGCGGCCTCCTGCTGGGAGCGGAGCGCTGCGGCCTCGACCGGCCGCAGGGTGATTCCAACGCCTGCCTGCCTGCCTGCCTGCCTCGTGCTAGCGAGCGAGCGGCGGGTGCCACAGTCGGTTTGTACAACGTGCAGCGAGCCTTGAGTATATGTATGGTGCATGCTTTCCTCCTGTTGGTTGCGCCCGCCCCACGGCCACGTCCCTGGCTTCGCGCCGCCCGCAGTTTCGGCCAACCGCGTGGCCCAAGGCATGTCGCTGGCGTTCGCTCGCGTCGCGCGGCCCTTCTGGGTGGGCCTGTGGGCGGCGCTGCTGGCGGCGCTGCTGCGGCCGCTGCACCAGCTGGCTGACGCCCTCGTCTTCTCAAAGGTGGGACCCCGGGGCGGTGGGTGCTGCGTGCATGTTTGTGTGGTGGGGAGGGGTGCCGCGCAACGGCGGCTAGGCCGGCGGCGGGTGGCGGCTGCCCGTGCGGCGGCGGGGGCAGTCGTGGTTACTCCCGCTGATGTCGGGCGCGAAGCCCTGCGGGAAGCCGCCCCTGGCACCGCCCTCGGCACACTCGGTCGTCCCGCCCCCCGGGCCCGGCACCCCTGCGACCCTGCGCGGCCACGGCTGCGCAATCCCCATACTTGCCCGCACAACCCAAGGGCGCTGCCCTGGGCCCCTGCAGCCCCTGCACCTGCGGCGCCAAAGCCATAACCCTGCACTCGGCCGATCCTTGCTTGCAAGACCCTGCAGCCCAAACCCCTGCACCCAGCCAGCCCCTGCGCCAGCAATGCTGCGCCCCCTAATCCCCCCAACCGCGCTCCTGTCCAGGTCCGCGCTGCCCTGGGCATCCGCAAGACGGTCGTGAGCGGCGGCGGCAGCCTGCCCCCCCACCTGGACGACTTTTTCGAGGCGGCGGGCGTCACGGTGCTGGTCGGCTACGGCCTGACGGAGACGGCGCCCGTGCTGACCTGCAGGAGGTGGGTTCGATCCCCGCGTGTGGCGCGTCGCGTTTTTCGCCTGGCCTTTGGGCCCCTGCTGACTGCAGCACAACGCAGGGGGCAGGCAGAGGTCCGCGCCCAGTGGAACTGAGAGGGGCCCTGGCAGCAGGACTGAGCACGCCGCTTGCAATGGGGATGCTGTTTTGGCGCTGCGGCCAGTTTGCGCAGCTGCTGTGCATGCAGTGCGGTACGCAGGCGGCTGCGGCCGCAAGCCGACAAGGAGGCCGGCCACGGGACCCGGCGCAAGCCAGCCATTCAGAGCGGGCCTGCCCGCTTTGGCTGTGCGGCGATGCGCCCTTTAACCTCTGCCAGTTGACTGCTGGAGCGCTCCCCATGCTAGAGGCGCCTGCACCCGCTCCCCCTCTTCCCATGCCTCCCCTCGGCTTTCCTGCGCCCACGCTCCACTTCTCTCTTACCCCCCCCCCCCCAAAGGGCGTCCCCTTCCAGCGCCAACATCCGTGGCAGCGTGGGCCTGCCGATCCCCGGCACCACCATCAAGATTGTGGACCCTGCCACGCTGCAGGAGGTGCCTGACGGGCAGCAGGGCCTCGTGCTTGCGCGCGGCCCCGGGGTCATGCGGGGGTGAGCGGGGGGGCCATGAGGGGCTGAGCAAGATTGCATGCGCGCGTGCGGCTTGAGGCGTCCGCGGGGCTCCAAGGGGGTGGGCAGGCTGCAGGCCAGAGAGAGCGGCCCGGTGGTTGTGCGCCCGCGGGAACGGGCTGGGGGCTCGCTGGCCCGCTCTCGCGCATCTGCGGCCAGGGGCCCACCCTGGCCTTGGCGCCCCGGCAGCAGACCGCGCAGCGACGACCTCCGCCCGCCTCCAAGCTTGTCGACCCGCAGTTCTTGCCGCCGCTCGACCCGCGAATCACCACCTATTCACCGCAAATCGCCACACGCCCCTGGCTTAAGATCACCACCTCCTTCCCCAAATCTTACATCAAAACTATCTGTGCCCTCCCTGCCACAAAAAATATCCCAAGGTACTTTGACGACCCGGCCGCCACGGCGGGCGCCTTTGTGGAGGGCGGCTGGTTCAACACCGGGGACCTGGGCTGGCGCGCGCCAGCTGGCGTTGAGGGCAGCCGCGCGGCCGGCCACCTCGTGCTGGCCGGGCGCGCCAAGGACACCAGTGAGAGCCCGCCCCGCCCGCAGCTGCACGCACGCCCACGCACACTTTGTTGCCTGCCCGCGCGCCCGCGCACCCGCCCCCCGGCTCGCAGCCGCACGTGCGTGTTGCGGTGTCACGAGAGGGGGCGCACGCACGCAGGAAGCGTGGGTCTCGGAGCTGAGCGCGCCGCAGCCCTGCCGCCGCAGTGCAGCGGATTCGACGGCCTCCTCGTTGCGCGCGCCGCGGCAGTCGGCCTCAACGGCATTGCTGGGCCCCCCTCCCTCGCCCAGCCCGCTCTGCCTGGACCCACGGGAGTCCCCTCGCAACAACACTCCCAAATCCCCCCAATAAAGC